CTCAACCGAGGATTCCCCAGCTCCGTTGTCGACAAGGTCCTCAACCAGGTCCGACTCATCTCCTGCACTTCCGCCCTCACCGCAACAGCGATAGGGTTCTCCTTATCCTTACCTACCATCCCACCAGAATCCACATTCAGAAGATCATCAGACGCCATTTCCGCCACCTCCAGCAAGATGCCATCACCGGACACACATTCCCCTCCCCTCCCTTGTCCACCTTTCGCAGGTCTATTCCCACTGGGACGTCCTGGTCCACACTTCCTTCACCTCCAACACCCCCTGACCGCCCTACGGCACCTTCCCCTGTAACTGGTGAAGGTGCAACACCTGCCCATTTACCTCCACCCTCCCCAGCATCCAAGGGCCCAAACATACCTTCCAGGTGAAGCAACAGTTCACCTGCACTTCCCAAAATCTAGTCTAGTGCATTTGCTGCTCACAATGTGGTCTCCCCTACACTGGGGAAACGAAGCGTAGACTTGGCGACCGCTTCACAGAACATCTACGTTCTGCTCGCAAAAAAGACCCTGAGCTACCTGTTGCCTCCCACTTCAACGCACCACCCTGCTCCCTGGCCAACATCTCTGTCTCTGTCTTGCTGCAGTGTTCCAGTGAAGCCCAATGCAAGCTGGAGGAACAACACCTCGTTTTCCGCTTGGGGACCCTACAGCCCTCCAGACTCGATATTGAGTTCAATAATTTTAGGGCCTAAACTCTCCCAAGTCCCAGCCTCCAACCCCACACACCAGGCCTTGTTACCACATAGCCTGCCAGTACACACTCCCTGGTGTTAGTCACTAATAGTCCCCATTAACAACTATTCACCCTCCCAATCTGATCGTTACCAACTCCAAGTCTGTCCAACTGTCTTTTTCTCTCTTTGTGCTTTATCCTATCGCTTACTCCCTACCCCATCCACCTCCCTATTTTCTGTATATAAACTGACGTTTGCCCAGCCACTATCAGTTCTGAGGAAGGGTCACCAGACCCAAAATGTTAACTCTGTTTTTTCTTTCACAGATGCTACCAGACCTGCTGGGCTTTTCCAGCAACTTTGTTTTTGTTCCTGTAAGCGCTTGTATGTTGGTAATATGATCTAGATTAGCTCTTAAGTTAATTATTAACATTTCATAAAAGCACCCAGTCCTTTATGTGAACAGTTTGTTTGCATAAGGGATTAACTAGTTGAAGGAATTTCAATGTATTGAATCATTTTATATCAACGAGAGTGTTTCTTTTCAATAGAAACATCATCATTAGACATACAGCTTTATTTTCTGCCAGCATGCCTCCTGAGATATGTGTATGGTAGATACTAAGTGAGTTAGTATGGAGAAGCCAAAGAGTGAGGAACGGGGTTATGTATTGGCACCGAGTTTACTTTACCCGGAGGACAGGGGAAACAAAGCTGAGTCCAGGATTGTATAAGATTAAAAGGCCTATAAAGTTGTGAGAAATTGCAGTAATTCTGAGAATTGGGAGGTTTCTAGAACATAACAAAGGAGAACCAAGAAACTGATGAGGAAGGAGAGAATACAATATGAATACATTCTAACAAAAAACAGATTGTAGATATTTTTACGAGTACATAAAAAGGAAATGTTTAGTTAAAAGAAATGTGGGTCCACTGTAGGCAGAGTCAGGAGAATTCATGATGGGGAATAGAGGAATCGTAGAGAAGCTAAATTATTACTTTGTGTCTGTTTTTGCTAAGGAAGGTACAAGAAATGTCCCAGAACTAGACATCCAAATGGCTAGGAAGAATAAGGAGTTTCAGAAAACTAGCATCAGTAAGAAGATTGTGCTGGAAAAATTAACTGGGCTGAAACATGATACATACCTAGAACCTGATGATTTTGAGAGTGTTGAAGGTGGTAGCTATAGAGATAGTTGATGCATTGGTGATTATATTCCATAAATTCTATGGATTCTGGTATTGTTCCTGCAGATTGAAACATAACAAATGTCACTCCACTATTTAAGCAGGGAGCCGGAGAGAACTATAGGGAACTATAGACTTGTTAGCCTTAAATTGGTAGTAGGGAAAATGATAGAATCTGTTGTAAAGAAGTGGTAAATCGACACCTGATTGATAATGATTTGTTGTGTGTAGTCAACATGACTTGCAAATGGGACATCGTCTTTGACGAGCTTGTGAAAGCTTTTTGAAGACAATACTAAATATTAGTAAAGGAGAGCTTCCTTTCATGTATCCACCCAGATGCCTTTTAAATGTTGCAGTTGTATCAGTGTCCACCACTTCCTCTGCCAGCTCATTCCAAACATACAACACCTTCTATGTGAAAAAGTTTTTCCTTAGGCCCCTTTTAAATTTTTCTCCTCTTACCTTAAACCTCTGCCTTCTAGTTTTGGACTTTCCTACCCTGGGAATAAAGTCCTTGGCTATTCACCCTGTCAATGCCCCTCGTGATTTTATAAACCTCTATAAGGTCACCCCCTCAGTCTCTGACGCTCCAGGGAAAAAAGCCCCAGCCTATTCAACCCCCACCTATAGCTCAACTCCTTCAACCCTGACAACATCCTCGTAAATCTTTTCTGCACCCTTTTAAGTTTTAACAACATTTTTCCTGTAGCAGGGAGACTAGAATTGAATACAGTATTCCAAAAGTGGCCTAAGTAATGTCCTGTACAGCCGCAACATGACATCCCAAGTCCAATACTCAATGCACTGACCAATAAAGGCAAGTACCAAACGCCGCCTTCACTACTCTGTCTATCTGTGACTCCTCCTCCAAGGAACTATGGACCCACACTCCCAAGATCTCATTGTTCAGTAACACTCCCCAGGACCCTACTGTTTTGTGCACAAGTCCTGCTCTGATTTGCCTTACCAAAATGCAACTCCTCACATTTATCTAATCTGGAAGTGAATGTTATTAATGTGTTTATTGTTGACTTAAATATCTTGGTCACACTTAATCATAGTTTGTCCGTTTACTTCTGTGTGTGGGACAGTAAAATAAATCATTCCCCCAAGTAATGCACGTGTTTCCCAGATTTTCTTTCTACTTTAGCGTCATTTTAGTAGGACTTGATGTCCATAGTCCTACTAAACACCCTAACCAAATGAAACCATTCCTATCTGCTTTATCACACTCTGGTAATGTCTAAAATGTTTATCAAATCACTCCTTAACTTAAATTTAAGGAACAGGCAGGTGCATACCTACTTGCCTGATAATGCAGCAATATTTATTTTCTATATTAGAGCAACCTACACTATCCAGTTGGATCCCAGGAACTCAAACCTGTGGCCTTTGTTCTAGAGACCAAAGAGCTGTAATCCAATGTCCAGGTTTCTAACATATACTAAAAACTATTGCTATGTAGAAGAGTCACTAAACAAAGCAAACTTTTTTTTCAGTCTCCTGCATTTGAATCCTATTTTTTTCAATACTTCTGTTTTGGTTTCTGTAAATCATTTTGAATTGAATTAAATATTCTGATTTGGGCATCCTGGTTTAGATTCTGCAGTAAAGATGCTTCAACAGAACTGTAGTTACTTGCCCTGTTCATGCATGTCATTGATTCCTTGTAGATCAAAGGCGTTATGCTTCCTTTGGCTATTTGACAATTGCAGATCACAGTGTAAAGACCCACAGAAATGTGCTAGACATGTGAAAGAATAATGGACGGCAAATGCTACAACTACAAAATCGGTGCTAAAATGAATGTCTGTAGCTTCTAATTAAAAAGATTTCCACACGGTGTGTCATTTTTAAAAATTCTTTCATGGATATGGGCTAAGCCAGCATTTATTGTTCATTTCCAATTCCTCAGAGGATTGTTAATGGTCAATCACATTGCTATGGGTGACCAGATAAGAACAGCTCTTTTCTTTCCTGTATAGGTGTTAGTGAACCAGATGAGTTTTTATAACAATTGACAGTGGTTGCATGATTGTCATTAGGCTGGCTTTTTTTAAATAAATTCAAATTTTACCAATTTGCTATGGTGGGATTGGAACCCATGTCCCCAGAATATTAGCCTGGAGTTCTGGATCGCTAGTCCGGTGACATTACTGCTACCCCACTACCTCTCCCAAATAGGCACTCCCTTTGCTGGCTTATCAAATTTTAGGAATAAAAATTCATAGAAATGCTTGCTATATAGCGATAGTTAATATTACCAGTGATTATGTTCCAGTGATTTTTCTGAACTGATATGTGATTTCATTTTGCTGGAAATTTTCAGATTCTTACTGTGAACCTGTACCACTTGATGGTCCACCTTCCTTCCGTGGTCAGTCAGTGAAATATGTTTATAAATTGACAGTAGGCTGTCAAAGGGTCAATTCTGCAATCAAACTTCTGCGGGTTCCTTTTCGGGTTTTTGTTGTTTATGGTAAGTCTGAGGTGAAGGTAACTTAACTTTTAGGAACTACTTGAATGATAGTGTCTAATTCTATAGTCAGTGAAATGTCTGTAACTGAAAGTTAAAATGCTCTATTTGGGACAAGAGACTTTTTAATTGTTTTTCTTTAAATTGGTGTTAAGATTCTCCTTGATGGCATTGTTGATGGATCTGACCCAGGCTTCTATAAGGATAGGCATCTGTTTACACAGGATTTTCCCCTTTTTGTCAATCATGATGTTTCTTGTTGAATCAATCAGATTGAGAAAAACTACCGCTCAGATTTGTATTCACAATCTGAACATTAATTATAGATAACAATTTCTTATGTAAAATATATATTTTGGATATTAGCTTACTAATAGAAATTAGAGCAAAATTAACTTTATAACAAAGAAGTAAAATTTTTCTTGAAGTGGAAATCGGTGCTGAAGACTGAACTTCAAGAAAAAATGAGTTCCACTATGCATACTCAAGCTTCATTAGGATCTAGATGTTTTAAGCATGGAAGAGTTGTAGATCTTGGCTACCAGTCTAGAAGAAGCTATATTTCTAAAACAATAATTGATTCAGTTTTAAATGCTGAAATTGGGCAGAAATTGGCTGGTAATGCACCATTTTGGATATTCCCTGATGTTTAATATGATTGATCTTCAGACTTTGTGCAAATCGGATGACTGATTTGATTGGTACTGTCCAGTTTCCACAAGGAAGTACTAGTGAAGATGCATCGGTGATATGGGTGTAAGCATGTGAAAAAACTAATTTCATTTGTGATTATACTTTGTAGTGAAATGTAATTTTTACCATATCAGGGTTGGAAGATTACCAGTTTCCTCCAGATGATGCTGTAGCTCCCACAAATCCATTTTTGGATGAAGATGAGAATGTTAAAAAAGACACTAGATTAGTAGATCTGGCAACAGAAATGCTGATGACCAGCACATCCCGCCGTAGTCTTCGTGAGTATTTAATAATGAAACTAGCATTGGAGATTCTGTTTCTTCCTGGCATGATACCATTCAAACTTAAACCTTCTCCAACCTATTAATGCAATTATTGGATTTATAACCAGTAGACGAGTGGTGTCACCAAGCTAAGGAACGAGAAGACGACTGCAGTTATTTAAAATATTAGTTGTTTTTGTGTTAAGAAAGCAACTTATTCAGGTAATTTCGTTTTGCTAAACTTTTTAAATTAAACTTTGCCCTGAAAAATTCCATTTTAAATGGATGCTTTCTTGAGCAATACTTTTCCTTTCTATTTTTCTTGTGACTCCAACAGTGTGGATCACCATAATCAAACGATTTTTTAAAAATTTACTCGCAAGAAGTGGACATTACTGGCTGGGCCAGCATTTATTGCCAATCCGCAGTAACTCTTGGAAAAAGTGGTGGTGAGCTGCCTCTTCAAATGCTGTAGCCCATTTGCTGTAGGTAGACCCACAATGCCCTTGGGCAGGAAGTTCCAGGATTTTGACCCAGTGACACTGAAGTATTGACTATATATATTTCCAGATCAGAATGGTATGTGACTTGGAGAACTTGCAGTTGGCGGTGTTCTGATTAATCTGTTGCTCTTGTCCTTCTAGATGAAAGTGCCAGTGGGTTTGGAAGGTACTATCGAAGGAACTTTGGTGAATTCCTGTAATGCATCTTGTACATGGTACACACTGCTGCTACTGAGTGTCGGTGGTGGAGGGAGCAAATATTTGTGGATGTGGTGCCACTCAAGTGGGATGCTTTGCCCTGAATGGTGTCAAGCTTCTTGAATGTTGTTGGAGCTGTGCTCTGCCTGTATTCCGTCATACTCCTGAGCTGTGCTTGTAGATGATGTGCAAACTTTGGGGAGTCAGGGGTGAATTATATGCTGCAGGATTTCTAGCCTCTGACCTGTTCTTGTACCCATAGTACATCTATGACAAGTCCTGTTCAGTCTTTTGTCAGTAGTAGCCCTTAGGATGTAGATAGTAAGGGTTCAGTGATGGTGCCACTATTGAATGTCTAGGTGTGATGGTAAGATTTTTTTTTCCTTGGAGATGTACATTGCCTGGTGGTTGTGTGGCATGAATGTCACTTGCCGCTTGTCATTCCTAGCCTGTGTATTGTCCATGTCCAGTTGCATTTGGCCATGGGCTGCTTCAGTATCTGAAGAGCTCCAAATGGTGCTGAATGTTTTGCAGTCATCAGCAAACATCCCCATGTTGGAGGGAAGGTCATTGTTGAAGCAGCTAGAGGTTGATCTAGTGCACTATCTTGAAGGACTCCAGCAGAGATTCCTGGAGCTGAGGAAACTGACCTCAACCACCGCAGGCTTCTTACTGTGTGCCAGGTATGACTCCAGTCTGTGGAGAGTTTTACCCTAGTTTCCACTGACTCCAGTTTTGCTAGGGCTGCTTGATGCCTACATTATCAAATATGGCCTCAATGTCAAGGGCAGTCACTCATCTCACTTCTAGAATTTACTTGTTTTGTCCAAGTCTGTAATGAGGTCAGAAACTACGTGGTCCTGGCAAAATGTGAACTGAGAGTCACTGAACGTTATTGCTGAAATAGTGCTGCTTGATAGCACTATTGATGATGCTTTCTATCACATTACTGATACTCTAGACTGATGGGGCAGTGATTGGCTGGTTGGATTCATCCTGCTTTTTATGTACAGGGCGTAGCTGATGCCAGTGTTGTAACTGTGCTCTAACAGCATGGCTAAATGACCGGCGAGGACTAGAGCACAAGTCATTGGTCCAGTTGCCAGAATGTTGTCAAGGTTCATAGCCTTTGCAGTATCCACTGCCTCCAACTGTTTCTCGATATCATACGGAGTGAATCAAATTGGCTGAAGACTGGTATCTGTAATGCTGGAGACCTCTGTAAGAGGCCCAGATGGATTATCATCCTGCTCCAGTGAATTGTTTAGTTGTCTACCACTGTTCATGACTAGACGTGGAAGGACTGCAAAGCTTAGTTCTGATTTGTTGGTTTTGGAATCCCTTGACTCTGTTTATCACTTGCTGCTTATATTATCTGGCAAGTAAGTAGTTCTGTTTTGTGGCCTCACAAGGCTAACACCTCATTTTTATGAATGCTTGGTTCTACTCCTTCTGTATCCTCCTGCACTCTTCATCAAACCAGTGTTGATCCCTTGGGTTGTTCATAATGGTAAGTTAGGTGCTATGCTGAGTCATGAGGTTGCATATTATTTTGGAATACAGTCTGGTTGTTGCTGATGGCCCACAGCACCTCATGAGTGCCCAGTCTAGAGTTGCTAGATCTGTTTGAAGTCTGTCGCATACAGCATGGTATTGCGCCACAAACATGATGGAGGGTATTCTCATTGTGAAGACAGGACTTTGTCACACAGTCCATGTGGAGACAGTCACTTCTGCCAATACTTTCATGGACAGATAAATCCGTGTAAGGCAGATTAGTGAGGATGAAGTCAAGTATGTTTAATTTGCTTGCAGTTCTGAGCCTGGTTTAGTAGAATAACAGATATAATGCCTATAGATAGTGTTACTCACCTAAAGTGCTTTAACAGTTTAACCATATCTGTTTTAGTTTTCTTTCATAGCCAATATTTCTCACTGTAAGCAGCTGCACCATATAACACAAAAATAATTTCACAAGATTGTTCATTTGTTTCTCCATCAATCAATAATAATGAATAACAATGAATCAGTAAGTTATTGATATAAAGACAATCCAATTTGAAATGTAAACTCTATTCTCTCCACAGATGCTGCCTGACTAGTTGAGTATTTCCAGCATTTGTGTTTTTGTTTTTACAGGGGGAGGCAATGGGCCTATTGGTATTTATCACTAGACTATTAATCCAGAGACCTAGGTAATGTTCTGGGGCCTGGGGTTCGATTCCTACCTCAGTAGATAATGGAATTTGAATTCAATAAAAATTCTGAATTAAGAGTCTAATGATGACCATAAATCTGTTGATTATTGGAAAAACCCATCTGGTTCACTAATGTCCTTTTAGGGAAGGAAATTGTCGTCCTTACCTAGTGTGGACTATGTGAGACTCCAGACCAACAGCAATGATTTTGACTCTTCTTTGCCTTTTGGGCAATTAGGGATGGGCAATGAATGCTGGTCTAGCCAGTTGGATGCCCTCATCCTGTGAATGAATGTATTTTTTTAAAAATTAGAAACGTTCATTAATTTGATTATGGTCGTAAATGGGAAAAGAACTCTTTTAAAAACTAGGATTGTAGAGAGGATTACTGCAATTTTTAAATGTAGGTTACCTGATACTTATTGTAAGTGCTGTTTGTACTGCTGTTTGTTCAAGCAGTGGGGCAAGTCTCATTGCAGACAAGCTGGAGCCAAGGGGTATGTATGAATGGAGATTTGGCCAGCAACAAGTAACTAATGGGTATGGGAAATGGTGACTGCTGTTGGTGGGAAAAATCCTTCTGCCTGCCAACAACTATGTGATTGGCTCCCAGGTAGCTGAACAGTTTGTGGGTGTGAATGTTTGGAGTGAGCCATTGGACCACTGAAAAGCAAGTAGCTATCCTTTATTCTGCCATAATAAAACACCTTAAACCTGACGAAAGCCAGTTTATTTTGCCGCATCACTTGCTGTAAGCTGTGACTTTTAACCAATAAATCAGAGATGTTTATAAATGTGAACTCCTCTCTCTGTGCCTCCTGCAAGTAAGTGAAAGTACCTGGAGAAGGAAGATAGAGGTGTAGCAAGTCAAAACAAGCAAATCCTGTTGACAGGGACCATTGAGCTGCTTTCCCAGACTTTTCCTCTGCTCGTAACACCCTTTTTTTTTTGTCTGTTTGTCTCTGTATGTGGGGTTAGAATTTTAACATAAAATTATAGATTAACAGTTTAATTGTTTACCTGTAGCAAGAATATATTTATCTGTAATAAATAGTCATTCTTGTAAAGTATAGAAATCTGACTGCTTTCTGTCAGCCTGGGTCTGAAAGAAAGGTAAATGGGGAGGTTTGCTAATTTTAAAAGGGTGGGGAGGGGATCCCTGATTTATGAACATCCCACTTATGAACGCTTGAACTTACTAATGAGATTCCATAATGCTATTAATTTTAAGGATTTGATATGCAAGCATTGGCTCATGTTTTGGAATGGATATTTTATACTGTATTGTGTTCCGACTTGCATACAAATCAACTTATGAACATACTTAGGAATTGAACCTGTTTTTAACTTAAGGGCTTCCTGTAAAATGGTTAAATGTAATGATTTGGGAGATAACAGGAATTGATTTCCAGCATGGTACCTCAGTGAAGTGTTACAGTGTTTATTGAAAAGAAAATTATTCCTCTATTAAGAAGTAACTTTAATTAACATGTCTACTACTTGTCTTCTAATTTTAATGAAATAACATAGATGTTCAGTATCGGTTTAAAATAGTATGCGTTAGTTACATGATAGCTATGTTACTTAACTAGTAATTCAGAGGCATGAATACAAATCCCACCAAAATAGCTGGAGAATTTAAAAATCACTAATAAGATACAATATGGAATGAGGATCTTGTATCACTAATGGGCATGTGTTAAAGTACTGGATTGTTGTAAAATCAATTCATGTTCCTCTGGGGAAGGAAACCTGCTGTCCTTATCCAGCCTGGCCTATATGTGACTTCAAACTCACAGCAATTTGATTGACTTTTAATTGGCCCCTGAAATGGCCAGCAATTCATTTGCTTGTATTCAAGGAAATGAACAACAAATTTCTTATGCTCAGCTAAAAGACAGCAATAAATATCCACAAATGAATTTAAATTAAAGGTAATTGTCTCCTCTCATAATCACAATGGTAACTGGGATGCAGATGGGGAGCTGCAGTTAGTCACATCAGCACTAAACTGTGGGATTGGTGTGGTAAATATACTTCTTAAATGGTCTGAATATTTATTGGATTCTAAAGAACTTGAAAAGGTAAGGAGGTGAAGAGTCTTTGCTTCATGCCTGTTTGATCAAAGCACCAAATGAACAAGACTTCAGAGTTCAAATTAATTATTACAACAATGATTTTGTACTTCTACTTAAATAAGAACTTTTATTAATAATTGCTTTATACATTCTATTCAGATTTGTATAACATTACTAATATGCGAGGGAAGGTTGGAAAATTTTGCATCTTCAAAACCATCTATAAAATTGGAGAGGATGTAGTGGGCACATTTGATTTCTCTGAAGGCGATATTCCATGTTTGCAGGTCAGTATATCTTGTACTTGCTAATCTTAGTATTTTAACAATTGTAAAATTGTGGTCCATTGTTTTAAAAATATTTTGATATTGTCTTGTATGCAAATTCAATTATATATACCTTGGAGCTAGTCACTGGCTAACTGGGAAGAATATTCGATTCCTGGGATGGGTTAAATTATCTGATTGCAATTGGTGCCATATTGGGAATAAAATCAACTTTAGCACCCCTGAAATAAACAATGTACAGAGAAGAGAAAATGTATTGTCATGATTGTTCCTCGTGGCTTTTCATCACAGTCCAAAGCTCCTTTTTGCGACGTATCCATGATGTTAGCCGAAGAACTGATCCATTATGATGCCTCCGTAACTGAACCAAGTCAGCAACTGTTTAGTTCACTTGAGTAAAGTACTGATGGGCAAACAATACCTCTGGCGCAGTGCCTTGTGAAACATTTGTATTGCAGAATCAAGTTTTATAATTCTCTTGTTGGAGTGATACTGCTGGATCAGTATCTAATGCTTCTCACGAATATGGACAAAAGCTAATCCAAATATATTTATAATTAATTATTGTATAATATAATTATAAATCTCCACAGATATGTTTTGCGTGGAAGAAGTCAAACTGAGATGAAAGAGAGCAATCTATGCACAGACATGTCTCAGATTTTCTTAATAACGGTTCTACAGAATGACTTTTTTTTGGCTTTACTAATCTCTTCCTTTACCTTTCAAAATGAAATCGTAACTGCTTGTGACTACATGGTTTAGTTTCTAGCAGTGCAAAATTCTGAGACGCCAGGATTAAAGCATTACTTCTATGGCCACAACTTGATAAATAAACATTATTTATGAGCTTTCAGTGTAGAACACTGTTGTTATTTATGGGAATTAAAATTTAAACAGTTATCTGTATTTATTTTGTAGTCAATCATTTGAGTCTTTGTCTGTTTTTATTTGTAGTTTTCAGTGTCTTTACAAACTGAAGAGCATGTCCAGGAAGAATACCAGAGAAAACCAGGGCAGCCTGTTTCCCTTAGCACACATGCTCGACACCAGGAGTCATGTTTGCATACAGCTAAGACTCACTTCAGTTTACCTATTCCACTTAGTGCCACGCCCAGCTTTATGACCACTGTAGGTAAGCATTTGTTTATTTATGTGGTTATTGGACTCCTATGGGCAGATATTGCCATGAGATGACCTGTTTTGTGTATTTATGGAAACTAGAACAGCACTATGGGTGCACCTAAACAATATGGACTGCTTCAACTCAAGAAAGCACCTCACCACCACCTTCTCAAACGCATTTATGTGGACAACAAATGCTGGTCTACCCAGCAACACTCATTGTGTGAGAAATTTGTTTTAAAAAAAAAATCCACATTTCTGTGCTGAAAATGAATCAAATAGCAATGTTCACCATTAGCATTGCAAGTATGCCTTAACCATAGAGTACTTGCTCTCATTGCCTGTTTTCTCCTTTCATACAGTGATTAGATGATCTAATAAATTTAGTTCCCACTGTCTTGAAATGTGAATTACTAGGGATTATTAGAATCTATACAGCATACCAAGTAATCTTAAATATTTAAGATTTTTATAAATCCTTGAATTTTGTATGACTTTAAACAATGATTTAATTATATATGTTGTGGTGATTAATGCATATTTTTCAATTTCAGTATCCTTAAAGTGGCGTTTGCATTTTGAGTTTGTCACAGCTCGCGAACCAGTGGAACCGCCTACTGTACTTGAGAATCAATCAGAAATAATTACTTGGACTGGGACAGGGAAGATCGATGTGGATACGTTCAGCTGGGATCTGCCCATGAAGGTGCTTCCAACCAATCCTGTACTTGCATCCTATGTCTCTCAGTTTGCATCTTCGAACTCCATCAGTATTTGAACTATGTTAATTTCACTTCAGCTGTGGAACGGTTCTTTGAAAAACGTTCAACCACTGAACTTAAAAAGTTTAAATTTTAATAACAGCAATGATACAACAGTAACAAATGAAAAATTAAGAACGAACATTGACATTGATGCTCCAAGTACATCAGTTTTTGTAGTGCTAATCGGGGTTACTGGAAGATAATCACAAAGTGAGACATCAGAATATTGTTGTTCAGAAGTGAGCAGTATTATTTTACGGAAATAGCATTTGAAGAGCAGGATTTATGGTGACTAAAGTTTCTTCTATTCACTACATTGAAAGAGGTCAGCAGAGAAAAACAAATGCACTTTCATATTTTCTTCTATTTTTTTTAAAAACTGTCAATTTCAAAAAAGTACTTGAATTGAAAACTGCTTGATCTGAAGATTCTTTTGTGAGTATTTTGCATGTACCTGTGATTTTATGGCTTTTGAATTATAACGGGTAAACTAATAATGGCTAGCAAGAAAAGTCATTGACATGGATTTTCTAATTAGTGATGGATTTTAATGTAACTTGTTTGAAACCCATGGAGCAAGGGTACTGGAACTTAACTATTTATTCTCGTTTACAGGTGTATAGCTTTCAATTCATACTTAAGATTGATAGTGTGCTGTTCTTGAGAATTCCACATTTTATATTCAAAGTACACTTATATTCATTGAATTATGACACCAGTAAATAAATCTTGTTAATTAATATGCCATTACCAGTTAGTATCCACAATGCTTCCAATACATTTTACTTACTATTGTTTAAATGCTTTGCACAAGCCATTGTTGAATTTGGAGGTGGCACCAGGAGAAATGATGGACACTGGCAGGTGAATCCCTTGCCTCTGCTGACAAACCTTTTGTTACTAGATCTTGATTGTTTTTCTTTTATTTTTTAAAGAAAATGTTCATCAAATTATATATTTCTCAACTTCTTTCATGAATAATTTCCAAGAGAAATAAACTGACAAATTCTGAGAAACTTTGCAGAAAATATTTGCTTCAGTGTGTCTTGTTTCATATGAATGAAACATTCAATTTTTAAAATTACTTGTGTTTTGTACTCTTTTTCTACATTTAATATAATGTAGCCTTCAGTTTAACTGGGATTAGCAAATTCCCATTCGTTTTTGAATGCATTGTCGATTTTCAGATCCTGATATCTGATGAAGGCTAAAAGTTTTTTTTTTAATATAAGGTTTTAAATCTTGCTACCTGTATTTTACCAACTACTTTTAATTATAATCATATTTGTATCTCTAAATTTGTTAAGGTCATCATGTGCATAGCCCTATCGTTGAATCATTCAGGCATCTGGCCTCATTTCAAAGTTATTTATTTTTTGTCCTCACCTGGGCTGTGTGCTCTTTCGCAATAAGCAGAAGTATAAGCTTAGAAAATCCCAGCACGCAGACTTACTGGACACTAGACTTTCCATTTGGGAAGTAGTCTTGTTTATTTCATTAAAATTACTTTGGCAACTGAGGCAGTTTGCTGCAGATCATTATTTACATTGTATTTAAAATGGAAAAAGTGCATTAATCATAATGGTGAAAGCTACAATACTTGCTGTATTCCAGATGTTACATAATAGAATATGACTTTTTTGGTTTGTATTCTAGGTAAATCAAATGTTTTGACACCTGTTAGAATTTAAGACTTATTCAAAGTCATAATGTTTAATTGTATATTAAAAACCATACAGCATTGCTAATCTCCATTTTTGAATGAAAATTCTGGTTTACTATTCTTTTTGTGGTTTGATGGATAATTTCACATTTGCCCCATATTTGTCACCATCCTGCACATTCATTTAAATGTCTTTATTCTTTTACAACATCTTTCTTTATAACATTTCCACCGAGCTTTAGGCCATCCACAAAATTGAATCCAACCCCTCATTTAAGTCATTGATAAGGTTTTAAATAGAATATTCCAGCATGCTTATTTTCAACAAGTGCTTTCCAATTTCATTTTGAAGTCATCGTTTCTTCTTCCACTACCAATGTTCCAGTGAATTCCAGATCATAACCACTCACTTTCCTCATATTTGCCCACATATCCCCTGTCTATGTCCCCTGTTGCTGCTACGCGCAGCTAATGGAAAAAGGTTCTGATAAATGTAGACAATGAAAAACAATCTTTGGCTTGTTCACCTCGATCAAATTGCCCCTCCTTTTTTCCAAGGAGAACAGTCTGCAGCATTTTAAACCTAATCTTGTAACCAAAATCCAACACTCCAAAACTATTTGGTAAATCACTTCTCTACACTCTCAGGGACCCTCACATTCTAGAAGTTGAACAAAGAAAATATAACCAGTACAGTGTGGAGCTGGAGGAACACAGCAGGTCAGGCAGCATCAGAGGAGCAGGAAAGTCAACATTTTGGGTTTACACCCTTCATTAGGATAGGTTACACTACAGTTCTGAAGGATTGTTGCACTGTTGGCCTAGGTTTAGAGAGATCCTGTCTATTCAGACGGATGCAAAGTATTGAATGAGACTATTCAAATATAAGACTGGATTTTCATATTATCATCTTGTCTTTGGATTTTTCAGACGAGAAAGGGACCAGATTAAAAAGCAGAATTAATGCATAAGATCTGCCTGATCGAATTGAATAGTGGAGCAGGTTAATTGAGTCATGGAGTATTCACAGCATGGAAAAAGGCCCTTTGGGCCATTGTCTGCATACTGGTCATCAAGCATCCACCTGTCTCTATTCTAATCCTGTTTTCCAGCACTTGGCCTGTTTCAAGTGCTCATTAAATACTTCTTAAATGTCCTAAGGGTTCCGACTTCTACCACCTTTTTAGGCAGCGAGTTCCAGATTCCCACTACCCTCTGGTGGAAAGATATTTTCCTCAAAGCCCCCCGAAGCCTCTTGCTCCTTAATTTCAAACTGTGTCCTTTGATCATCAAACCCTCTGCTAAGAAGAAGTTTCTCCCTATATATGCTTGTCATGACTTTGTACAGCTTAATCAGATTCCCACATCCTTACCTCCAGGCCACATCCTAATGAATCCCCTATGCACCCTCTCTAGTGCAATCACATCCTACCTATACTGTAGCAACCAGATCTGCAGTCACGGGCTGTATGATCTACTCCATCTATTTATAATGTTTGTATGTCCTTAGCACCAAAATATATAACAAGCTATTTACCTTATTTACTATTGGTAGGACTTAGCAGAGTGCAGACTGATCCTGATTAGACCATATAACTAATGGAAACGCAAAATAGCCTATCAGCAATGAAGCATTTTAGGATATTTAAAAACATTCTTCATTCAAGGCAGTTCTTCTCAAACACTGACTGTCTCGAGTCAATTGAAAACGTATATTCCAATTCTTATTAATACTTTTGGCCTTATTGGTCAAAGTTACAAGCTTTTAACAGACAGAAAATAACAGGATGAACAAAGATAAAACACTTCTAAAATGCATGCATGGTTATGTTGTGATATGAAAACATTCTTCATCAGTGAGCATTATCCCAAGCACAATTTGTTCCTAAACATTGTTAAAGAGTTGCAAGGTTGAAGCTTTTCATCTCGTACTCATCAAGACATATATGTACAAGAAATCAAAGTTGGAAAGGGAGTAACAATTTATAGAGGAGGAGGATGGTGCTGTCTGCTGAACCATGGTTGGCATTTGGATGCAACAGGAAATGTTAACTGTCAATTTTGGTTGAAAAATTTTAAATCAGGCAGCTATACTGATTTGTCAGGGCGTTGTCATGCAGAAAATCTGATCCTTACTTGAAATGACCTGGTGCATTGTATTAGTTTAGGATGTTTTAAAATTTTAAATTGATTATTCTACAATTTGAAACACTAGTGTTTGCTTATTAACTCCTGACAATTTCAAGGCTTTTAAAATTGTTTTCTTTGCAACAGTAAGGCTGTACGGTTATCTTTATTTCAATATATAAATCATATAAGATTTTGTTTTGCGAGTGGAGATTGCCCATTTGCAAATTCACCAAGCCTCCTTAGAGTGCCCCTTCCAACCCATGACCACTACCATCTAGAACGGTAGCAGATACATGGGAACATCACCTATTAGCTCCTTTCCAAAGTATTCACCATACTGACTTGGAAATATATTGCAGTTCCTTCAGTGTCACTGGATCAAAATCATGGAATTTCCTCCCCAACACCATCGTGGGTTTAACTGCACGAAATGAATTGCAGTAGTTCAAAAAGGCAGCTTATTAAGGGCAATTAGCCGTGGACAACAAATGCTGGTCCAGCTAACCGTGCCCGCATCCAATCAATGAGTAAAAAACTGCTTTTGACAGAAATTTGCAAAATGTTTTCTGCTCCTAAAAGATGGTGAAGCTGACATCCTGTATAAATAATTGAGGTCCAAGCACTGATCGATGTGGCATTCCCTTGATTACAGCCTCTTAATATGAAATTGACTTCTTTATCCCTAATCTATTTCCTATCTGTTAACTTCAATCTTCACTCCAAACTGTCCCCTCGAATCTTGCATTCCCTTCCAAATAGGATTTTAATAGTTCAGGAGGCCAGTGAGGAAAAGCTAAGTCTACAGAATATTGGTATAAACAGGACTAAGTTTGGAACAGAGATTAATGTTCTCTCACTGGCAGATGTAGATAGACATAATGTAAGCTTCAAAGCCAAGCTCAGAATTGAGCATGAGACCAAGGCTACAAGATTGAGCACGAGTTTGCTTTTTCCAGATCAGTCAAAGAAATTTAAATTACTGTTTCACTTTCAGTTCATCAATATCCAATGTCGACTTTACCCTGCCTACATGACTGTTATTCCAACACAGAACCTTTGGATTTTAACTCTGAACTTTTGCTGTTACCTTTTATTTTCCATCTACTTCATGTTTCCCATTTACTTCTAGTGTTTTATAAATCTTATCTTTTTTTATCAAAATATGATATATAATTGAGCTTTTCTTCAGTACATTTGTCTGTCCAATTGTTTAATATTGTGTGGATGTTACCTTCAGGTGAAGATTCAATATCAGCCATCACCTACCTCAAGTCGGGCAGCCTCTGAATAGAATCAATCATCAGGGTTCATTTACATCAATTGTTTCCTGGAAATCAAAATCTTTGCTCAACAAATGCACGGGATCCATCACATGAGGTAAACAAATGAAACAGAAGATGCTGACTCTTCGAGTGGCAAGCCTGAATGTCAAGGACATGCACGATGGATTGACAAACCACAAGCCCATATGATATAGGAGAAGAATTTGGCCCATCAAGTGCTCCACCACTGAATCATGGCTGATATGTTACTCAAACCTATTCTCCTGCCTTCTCCCCGTAACCCTTGATCCCCTTATTAATGAAGAACCTATCTATCTCTGTCTTAAATTCACTCAAAGATTCAGATTTGTAGCTGGTCAATAATATGAGCAAAATGGATGTGATTGACGTGGAACTTGATAGGCTGAACACTGAAAAAATGTCCCGACAAAAACACCAAAATCACCTAGAATGGATCACTGAAAGAAAATCATTACAAGTTTATCTGGCAGGGTGGTATAGTTGAGAGAAAATATGGTAGGAAGATGTAGGCTTGGTTGATAAGAACACCTCACAAATGGTTCACAAGTATGTTCTTTCCATCTTCCTCTCAACTCAAACAGGGTCAGTTATCAGGGCCAGGACACTGCTATCAAAACCCTTCCAAGTAAGAAAATCTTTAGCTACTGGAGGCTTTTAAAGTGGGTGTAGACCTGTGCCTCAAATATAACCCTGAAATGATAAATGAGAATGGACTCAGATAACTTGAGCTTTGCTGCTTTTGTGAGCTTTGTGAAAGCTTCTTTTAGAACAAACTATCTCAGTATGTGTTGGACACATCCAAGATCCGGGTATTGACACCAACGGGATCTAGTCATCACCAGATGTGACTCTCTAAGCAGCATTCTCAACAAATACAGTTACCACAGGGCTGACTATAATACAGATCACTCCCTGGTGT